GCGGCGCCATCTTGGCGGCGGGCGGGACGCGGCGCCGCCCCGGGGACGGGCCCGGCCCGGCAGCCTGGGCCCTCACACGCGGCACCGGCGCGTTATGGCGAGCGGGTGCAGCCCCGTGCGCTTCTTTACCCCATGTCACTGTGCTCCCGGTTACAATCCGGTTTAAATAGGGTCACTTCACGGGGAACGCCGTGGGGGAGAAGAAGTAGAGCCGTCCAGGAGCGAGGGCGAGGCCGGGCAGGACACGGCTCCGCAGCACCAGCGGGCAGGGCCTGTCAGCCGCCTCTGCCACGGGCCCCCAGCACCAGGCCCCGCAGTGATCCGAGAAATCCCGTGGTGGGGGGACATACCCCGAGCAGAGCCAGAGCCGCCAGCAGTGATGAAGGACACCCTCCATGAGGTGGAGCCAGAGAAACGTCCAGGAATAGGGCTACCTGTGAGGGAAGTTCAAGGAGAGTTCGGGGAATAAAGCTGGAGGCAGAACTTGACACAAGCACAAAATACACCAGGGAAGAAAAAGAAAACTCAGACCTGAGCTTAACTGGAGCCCCTTGGCTCCTTAAATGAGCTCTTTCAATGAGCTCCTTGGCCTATGAGCAGGGTCGGGCAAGTCCCAGCTGAGGCTGGTCAGGCTAATTAAGGCCTATTAGTGCAGGCAGGGCCCTGATAAGGAAGAATTTCATTCAGCTGCTCTGTAACTGTAAGGCTTTAAATTGGTTTTTGTCTTCCTCTTTTTCCCTTTTCTTTTGACTGAGGTATGTGCTCTTAAGTGTAGTGTTCTCTTTTCCCTACACTGGGACTTTTGGGGAGATAGAGGGAAATGTTTGCTTCCCTCAAGGGAGGGTACTGCAGAACCATTTAAGGGCTAAAGGTAAAGAGGAGAATTTTGTTCTGAAGGTCTTAAGTTAGGTCTATTTGAGTAAAAGAGGTGGTAGTAGGGGGTGTTATGATGCTGCATGCAGGCAGGTGATACCTGTTTGGGCAGGTAGTGAGCCCAGCAAAGTACAACTGCTGGTGCTGCCCAGGGAAAATGCAGCTTTTGTAGTGCTGGGAGAAAAGAKCAGTCATGCAATGGAAGACTTTTGCTTGAACCTTTGGCATCCTATAAAGATGTTATTTGTAGTATAGAGAAGCTCAGCTGAGTGCCTTTGTAGGATCTTAGTATGTGCAAAAAAAAAAATAGTCAAACTCGCATAGTACTTGGGAGTGAAGAAAAGGAGAAAAACACTTTCCTATTTTATGTGTGTGTAGCAGTGCCAAGGAGGTGTTTTTTCCCTGAGAGYCATGAGCAGTATGGAGCCATTCCTGTTGTCCCAAACAAAACAAGTAAAGCGCAGCTGACATCAGAGCACTGCAGTTTTAAGCAGTAGTTCCAGCAATTCAGACAGATGTGAGGTCTGATCTGGGCTGTCTCTGCTCCGGTGACTGAGGAAAGAGCCCCTCTCACCAGGCAYGTTGCTCAGTGAGAGGGGCTTTCTTTTCGTGTCTGTAAGACAAGTCTATGTAATTTTTTTCCCTTAATATTAGAGAAGGAGGCTGCTTTGCTGCTTTAGACTTCAACTAATCTCTGCTTAAGGTAACACAAAGTCCTTGAGGATGGAAGCTGAGTAACGGTGAAMACTTGTGGTTTGTTTTATTACTGTTTAGACTGACCTGGTTAGCTCTGAGCTGATAAGTGATGTCTATTCCAAAACTTCACATGAGGGTCAAAGCTCTGCATTAGCAAATTCTTACAGTAAAAACCTCATACAGCTTRGGGAGTGTGGCCACAAGGAAGGTTATGAGTGGGAAGCAAACCTTGCTGTGTGACTAATAATGCTGTTTATTTTCTGATAAGTCAATAGCAGTGACCTCAGATTTGGTGCTTTCCAGTTGGGAAGAGWGAGTGGTTTGGTTCATAGGTGAAAGGAGCCCCTGGCCTCTGGCTCTCAAAGCAGCTCGTGGGGCAGTGCTGCTCGGGACTGCCTGGCTGAAGGGAGGAGCAGGTAAAGGCAGGGTGCTTGGCTGGAGCCTTGGACTCTATCCCAACCCTTTCTCTCCTCTCCATGCCCCCAAATCCTGCCCTTGACCTGGGAGTCTGGCACCAGCTCCCCCTTCTCGCCTGAAGCTGCTGGGACTCACCAAGTCCTGTGCAGTTGATAAGCACATGATGACTGACTTCCATGTAGAAGCAAGGACAATAGAGAGCACTGGTAAGTATTTTCCTGTTAAATGTTGCTTTGAGTCACTGCACCCATGGAAATATTGGTTAGGCAAGGCAGAAGTCTCAAATATCWTTAAGCATGAGAGTTTGTTGCCCTTTACGTTCAGGGCACTATCTTGATTCCTACACCAGAAGTTAGAGGTACTGGTAGTACCCACTTCCCACTGGTACCCTCCACTGGTGGGTGGAGGGCCAGCACTGTTCCAGTGATATCAGAGGTGATAATTCCGCAATGGAAGGACAAGAACTGATGGCTTGAAGCTCACACTATCCTTTTCTGCCCTCTGTGGGTCCCAGCTCTCAGTACAGATACTCTCTGTCCTGCGATGGCTGTGACTTCTCTTGCACTGCGCTAGAGAACTGGCCTCCTTGCCCAGAAGGAAGGATGGGTGATGCAGATCATACAGTGTTCTAATAATGAGATAGCTCAGCAAGGCTTAGAGGTGCTCTGTAAATCGTTAGTGTTTTTCTTTTGCAGTGAAGAAATTCCATGCAGTAGCATGTGTGCTGTGTGTGCAGTTTAAGTTGCAGCAAGAGAGCTGGGACCCAAAATTGCTGGGAGAAGGGTGACTTCAATAGCAAGGCAATAAGACATTTCTGCTGCTTTTTCCTAATCCACAATTAGGATTGTTTTCGTTTTTCCTAATCCCTTTTCATGTCTTGATATGAATTCTGCATTTCTTGACAACTTCTTAACTTTTTTTTCTAGCATGCAAAGCGTCCAGTTTGTCATTTGGTTTTCAGATTGCTGTAAAGGTTGTGGAAACCCTGCATTGACAGCTATTACTTAAGTTCCTGGAAGAAGGGGAGGGGAAGGGCGCTTTAATTTCTCTTTAGCATCTTAGGAAATTTAAAGGCATTTTGTATGGGCTTGGTATTGATTAAACAAATAGCATCCCAACTGACAGTAGTGCTTGTGGAGATGTTCTCAGTGAGCAAGAAAGTGGCACCTGCTGGTTTTCTGCATTATACTGCAGGGTTTTAAAGATATATATATATATATAAAATACATATTTTTGCAGGGTGTTGTCTTATTCTCCACTGCAGTGACTGGCAACGTTTTGGGGAACTGGAACTTGCAGAGTGAGGTGGGGAAAACAGCAAGCAGCAGCCAGACCCAGGTAAACACCTAATTGGAGAAATGTTTGAGGAAGCTGCCCTTGCATAAAGCTGCGGCAGCAATTGTGTCGAGCAGTTCCAGGAGGYAGGGAATCCATTTATTTGTGGATTCATTTTTGTGTATGCCAACCAGGGGAAGTAAGGCCTTTCCTCCTCTGAAGATCAGGACTGGTAATACTTAGTCAAGACTAATGAATGCTTATGACCAGGTTCTTTTCGTGAAGGGCTCATTGAAAGGAACAGATGAGCAAGGCTTGGAGAATCAAATCCTTCAGTCATTATAGCCAAGCTATGTGAAAAGAGGAAATGAAGGAGTTGAAATGGGTGAAAAAAAAAATGCTGATAGGAATCCAAGAACTTTCTGGTGCCTCAAATCAAGGGTTGGCTGCTCCTTACCTAACCTGTCTTGGACCTTTTTCTCTTGCTGCCATGCTTCAGTGCAGCCAAGTGGCTGGTTACACAGTGCAGCCTGCCGATGTGGATGAACAGCCAGTTCTGTTAATAACTGCATGTGAGGAAACTGCCAGTCCCCAGGGGAATGTGGGATGTAAAAATGACTGAGGAACAGGCAGATACCTTGCTGCCATCATGTCACTTGCCCTTTTTCCTATGTTGCAATCTCTTCCCACTTCCCTGCTTCTTCCAGCAGCAGTCTGCCCTGTATAACTAAAGTTCACTTTGAGCCTAAGCCACGGGAGCTGCAGCAGCTCACAATAATCCCCTCCCAAAAGGCTGTGGGAACTCTCCCAGCTGCCTGCTCCGAAAGCTGAGCCCTGCAGCGCACGAGCCCGGCGTTGCTGGAAAGCAGGCCTGGGAAGTGCCGAAGTTTGGGGTGGCCGTGGTGTGCAGGGCAGAGCGGAGGGGAGGCTGCGGCTCGGGCGCGGCGGGCAGCGGGGCTCCACGTGCGGCTCTGCGCGGCGAGGCGCCGCGCTCGGGGGCGGCCCGGCCCGGCCCGGGAGGCGGGGCCCGCGGGCGGCGCGGGGACAGAGTCCCCGCCGGGCCGAGGAAGTGGCCGCGGGACGGAGGGACGGCGGGAGGGCAGCGCCGCCGCGCCCGCGATGTGAGGGACGGGGCCGAGCCCGTGCCCGCCGCCCGGACCATGGCGGCCCCCGGTAGGTGCCGCGGGCTGCCCCTCGGCGGGGCCGCGCGGGGCACGGAGCCGGCTCCGCAGCTCTGCTCGTGTGGGAGGGGAAGGAGGGTCCCGCTGCCCGCGCTGCGGCGAGCGCCGGGGCCGGCGGAGCTTCCTGCGGCGGCCGCCGCGCTGCTGCCCCGCCGGGCGCCCGCCGCCCCGCTCGCTGCCCGGGGCGGTCCCGCGGCGGCGCCCGCTTTGCTGCGCGCTCGGCCAGCCCGCAGCGAGGGTGTCCCGGGAGGAACCGGCCCCGTGCCGCGCCCTCCGCGCCCGGGGCTCCTCCGCGCTCTTCTCAACCCGCTGCTCCSCGGATAGCGCTCTGGCCCGCGGCGTTTGCGTGCTGCCCGTTTGCGGTATGGCCTGCTGCCCCGGGATCTCCGACAGGCTGTCCTAGGTTGCCGTCGCTGGCAATGGTCTGGCTACTGGGGCGTAGGTAACGATGGTGAGAAGACATCTGCAGACTCCAGAGGGAATGAAATTTAAGCTAGGCTGTGTAAGTTTGYCCAATTTGCAAATTCTCCCTGCAGGGGAGTGTGCATGCTCCCTTCAAGTAAAAAAGGCAAAATGTGCCACCCCAGGCACGAAGCACTGTTAGTGTTTCGCTGGCGCGTATCTCCTTGAGAGGTAAAAATGATCTGAACGAACCTCTCAGGAGGCTCCTGGACAGAGCGCGAAACTGCTCCTCACTTTATAGCCAGAAATAAGTTTCAATAAGGTTCTTATAAATAGAACATCTTTGGATTCACATATTGTTGATGCAGAACTCTCATTCCTATCACTGAAGTTTTGCTCACATTTTTTTTCCCTCTAGTTTGCTTCTATTTTTTATCTTTCTTGTTTGCAGTACTTTAAATAAAGTCAAGGTTTTCAGTTCCACTCAAACCGAGAGATCTCGCTAGTCTGTTAATAATTACTGCATGTGATCTCTGTTACTTTGTTATGCATTCTGGGCAGGCAAAGTATGCGTTCATTTCGTCATACATCACTTAAATGCACCGGCTTTGGACACTAAAATATTTGAAAGGTGCCAAGAGCTRTTAATGGCTCCCTAGCAGCTCTCAACACCTCCAGGAAGCCCTCGCTCCCACAGGAATTGGAGTCTTGAGAAACAGTGGGATGTGTTTCATTTATAGAGAGTTGTCTTTGGTTAGAAGTTGGATCTCGCTCTATGAAAGACTGGTGTTTTGGAAATGAATATAATATTGTATCTTTTGTGTGCTTAAATCCCAAAGTAAATTGATGGTAATACAAACAGGCTACATAACACTCTTCTGTTTAGCGAGTGCTTGGGAAGGATTTGATGTAGCAGATGAAAAGTTAAAAAGCGATTTGCTTGCCACTGAACACGATCATCTAAGATATTTGTCAGTTTTTTTTTTAACCTGTAGTTGGTCTGTGGACCTTGAAAAATCATAGTCTACTGAGAAAAGGGCAGCAAGAAATGACACAGAAGTGAATTGGTTGCTAGAGGGCTTGAATATCTTATGGAACGCACCAGTACAATGTAAAACTATTAATGATGTGCARGTTGACAAAGGTCAAGCCTTTTGGCCAGTAGTAACAGCAGGTAATAGCTGGTTGAAGTTGGGAAGTGTTAAGTGGTTAAGAGGTAATCTTAGGCAGAGCTGATATGCCAACTTCCTCCAGTGTCTTTTAGCAATTTTAATGTCCCTAGGTAATTAGAATTGCATGATATGGTTATAAACTGCTATTCTATTTACACTGAACTCRGGGATTGTCATTTTGCTAATCTGTCCAAAGACGGACCTGTTTTGTTTCCCTCTCTGAGAGGGACTATAAATGCATGATATAGTCTATCAATTTAGGACACTTTTATTCTCTTACTGAACTTGCCATGGGCCACCTTTGGTTTTGAGCAGATTGTTTTGTTCTCTCCTCTATTTCATTTGCAGTTTATAAACTAGAAAAGCTTTATCTCTTGTTCTGTCTCTGTRCTGTTTAGGTTGTGGGATTGCAGCCTCAATTAGAGGCATTTAGCATTTATACAGCGCTAGTTTGCAATCTCATAAATTTTATACTATTGCTCTATAATGGAGGTTACAGCTAAGCATTCAAAGGGACTGTTACACCTTGAAAGGAGTCCAAGGGTTGTGTTTTATAATTGCAGACTGCTACAGACCCACACCTAGATTTCTTCTATGAAATAAACAATTAATACCTGCAAGTTTTTAAATATTGCTGATATCTTGTAAACTAAAGCAATAGCGAAGTTAAAGTTAGTTTAAGATTCAATAAACTTTGCTTTTAGTCTGTAAGTCTGGAATCTAGGATTAAAATATTATTGAATCGTAAACTAATTTTAGCTTGGATGTGTGATTTTTATTTTTTGGAAAGATTAGCTGCCTGCATCCCCTTTCCTTATCTTACTGCCATATAGGCTGTCTGAAGTCATTCTTGCTGCAAAGTGAAGGCTGCCTTCTGTTTGTTTTTCCTTTTCCAAAAAACAGCCTGTGAAATGCATTGTCAAAGCAGACAACTCATGCCAGGGCTCAGCAGAGATAAGTGCTAGATGTTTGCCTAGAGATTTCCTTATGTGTGTACAATAGGCAAAGTTTATATTGTGCTTTAAAGTGTGTTCATACATCAGTTACAGTTTTACTGATGTATAAAAAGGTGGTGGGGAAGCTCTCCCCTCAAACATTGTGTATCTTCTGTTTGTTTCCCTGAGGACTAGAGAGCAGTTTGTGCTGAAGAGCGAAGTATTTCACCAGGCAAATAACAGCATGATCCAAGAAAGTAAATCCTGTGCCATCTTTCTAGAAAAATTTTAAACTGCAACATCTCATTTTCAAAGATATTTGTTTTCCTCTGAACAGTCTCATCTGCTGACTTACTGCTTCAAGACGCAGTGCACTTGCTTGTGACTCTGTAGAATTTCCATGGCTCTAAGAGTGGAGTCARTAATTCTGTTGTTTAGTTCTCCTTTTCAAGAGGCTGCTCCTCAGCTTCCCCTGGTTGTGTAAGACTAGAGACCTGCACCTAAGGCAGCCTGTGGACAGCTGGAACAGAGTTGGTGGCGCTGGAGGAGCCGCGGTGCACGGAGGAACTGACTCCTTTCCTAAACACCAGGCACCGTTCGTCACTTATGGGTGCAGATGTTGTACTGCTCGTGGCTGTTATCTATGGAGATAGGACTGCTGACAGGGAACAGGGTCTGWCGGATTGCATCTTTGTACCCATTTCGGAGAAGGGAGGCTTGGTAGAGTCCCCATGATGCAGTGTGTGAGGGGAGCTGAAGGTTTGTGGAGTCTCCTTCTCTGGAGTTCTTCAAAATCCACCTGGATGCAACCCTGTGCCATGTGCTTGAGCAGGGGGTTGGACTAGAGATCTCTAGAGGTCCCTTCCAGCCTCAACCATTCTGTGATTCTGTTTCTTCCTCTATCACGGCCACTGGCTCCAAGGTGCCTTGGATTCCTCTCCCTGCTGCCCTCAGGGTTAGCAGGGGGTCTCCCATCTGGCCCGGGCTGGCCGATCCCGTTTGCTGCACTCGCTGCTCCTGGCTGTGCTGCGCYCTCCACCTGCTTGGTGTGACCGTCACCACTGTGCCCTGGAAGCAGAAGTTTCTGCTGGGCTTCCTGAAGTCTCTGCTTCTCCTCTCTTGCTCTTTAGAATAAGACTGTTTTGCTAAACTTACCTGCTTCCTCTGTTTCTACCTGTTTGCAGCTACATCTTCCCTGTGAGGCAGTCTTGAACCAGAATGTGATATTTTGATATCAATGTTTTTACTGAGGTGAAAACTCTCTCTTCAGAAGAGTTCTGCTCTCTTCCCTAACGGCCCCCAGAGCCACTTTATGACTTTGCTGGATCTCCTTCATGGAGAATATTTTCTTCTACAAACTTCAGCCTGGGGTTTGTGAATTGTACACACACACACAGAAGCACACAGCTATTACAGGGCCTCTCAAACTGCATCTTGAGTATTTTGTAGATCTAGGATGTCAGTCTTTCCTGGCTAGACCCTTTCCCRATATGCAGGTGACTAACATTATTGAGTGGGCATAGATATTTCTAAGCTTTACTTTTTGCACTATTTCTGCTTAACTGCAATTTAAAGAAATGTTTGAATGATTAAGAGCTGGATGCTGTAGCACTGGCATAGATCACATTTCAATCCTTCTTACAACTRTAATCAAGACTGTGGGTCAGGTGGCAGAATGGAATCTTTGAAGATTGTTCAGTTTTTTATTTGAGTTTAGTCAGGTGACTGCAGAAGTGCCCTCTCTATTCTTGCYCTTTGCTGATGCTCTTTCTGGCATGCCAAATTTTAGGCAAAGTCATCTAATTACAAAAATTGTGTGTGTGTTTGCTTGCTTCTGGAGATGGGTTGGAAATGTTGGCACTTTTAAAGAGTCAAAGTGTGATGAGAAGAAAGGCAGTCTACTAATARTTTTTGAAATGCTGAACACTGTGATTTACCATGGGACCACAGCCATAATTCTCAAATCTGGGTAAAATTCTTCATGGATGGAGGGAAAAAAATGAGGTCAGACTTTAAACCCTGGGGCTGTTGCACTTGTGCCTTCTGGGCAGTTTGTCCCCTGCTGCGGTGACAGCAGATGACCGGCCCCGTGGAGGCCATAGTGGCTTCCTGTGAGCATCAGGAGACTCTATTTAAATAAAGACCTTTCTTTTAGGTGTACTATATTTAGTGGGTGCTTCACTTCAGCATGTAACAGTCTAAATTTGTGTTGCAGAGCCCATAAGGTTGTCTCAGACTAGTCTTATCTCTCACCCTAAGGTGGATTGTTTTTTTCAAGCTGCATTTGTTTAGAGGGTTGAACAATAGGTCAGCCAAACTTAGAATTGTTCAGTGGCTCTGAATGTCTGTTTGCTTTGCCTATGCTACTGTTCTTTTAAAGTGCTTTGGAGCTCCTTAATGAAGGACAGCCCTCTAGCTCTTTTTTTTTTTTTTTTTTTTTTTCTCCTATAAAATGAGGATTAGGTTTTGCTGTGGCTTTAATGCGCTTCTCTCACCACCTGCACAGGAACCCCTGGAGGATATGATGTGCTGATCGTGTATGCAAGTGACGCTGCTGAATGGTGCCAGTACCTTCAGAATCTCTTCCTCTCCACTCAGCACATCCGAAAGCATCGAATTCGAAGCTACCAGGTAGAAAGYGAGGCTGCGATTTCCCGCCAGGAGCTGGATCTCTTTGGCAGAAGTCGGAGCATCATCGTTTTGCTCTCTGCTGAACTGGTGCAGAACTTTTATCTTCCTCCGGTCCTGCAGAGCCTACAGGAAGCCTTGTGGCCCCCGCACAAAGTGGTCAAGCTCTTCTGTGGTGTGACAGACTCGGATGACTATTTGACCTTTTTCAAGGACTGGTCTCAGTGGCAAGAAGTCACATATGATGATGAGCCTGATGCTTACCTCGCAGCTGTCAGGAAGGCTATTTCAGAAGGTAAGGTTGCGTTTCTAGTTGGGGCTGGGAGACGGAGCTGTATGGTCTTGTTCATCCTTGTTTTAATACTGAAATAGAAAATTAAAATAAATTCCACTAATCTGTGTAAGCTAAAAAGTTCTGCACGCTGRTTTTCATTTACTTTGTGAATTGGTCCCTGAGGTCACCAGTGACTCACAGAACTTGTGAATTTGGATTATATCTTAGGTGCCTGCTTTAGATTTGAAATGGAAAGTAAAATTAACTCTAAAGTTCTGCCTGCAAATATGCCCTGCAGTTTGACCCTGATCAAGGGAAAGTTATCTTTTTCTTCAGAGTTATCTTTCCAATGTACTGGGAGCAAGAAATATTTATCCTTTACTGTGTACTGTCTAGTGCTCAGCCTAGACTGATCAGAGCCAGAGCRGTTTGTTACCTATGAATGAATGGCAGAGATTTACTATAGAATTGCACTTAATGGACTTAAGTGATCTAATCGGTCCAAAAGTGACGAGACTTCTCCATCATCTCATAAGAAGCCCAGAGGGCTTTATTAGTACAGAAGTGCTTATGGCTGGAGACTATAGGAGTCTAATCTATGTATTTTTTGGTGCATCTGACCTTTCCTATGCTCTAGAGGCTGGTGTGGCGCTGCTTTCTGAGAGATCCTGAGAGAAATATGGAGAGCTCCTATGTAGGACAACACTGCCTTCCATCMTCCGGGTTGCTGTTCCTTGCCAGCATTGGAGGGATAGGAGTATTGCAGGCTTCTCTTGGGTTAGGGCTGATCTAAATCAAGTTTTGTTCTGCTTAAGTCTAAATGAAGCAGTGCAGATTTCTTGTGTGTCTGATGATGTCTGTATAAAGGGACTTTTTACCAAGGAATAACTATGATGGCAAATTTATTGCAACAAAAAGAAATTTTAAAGTTATGTTCTTGGGTAAAATAGTCCTCCTGGAAAAATATGACTTGGAGTTTGTGCTGGAGAAGACATTATCAGGTAACCAGATCACAAGATGTAATTCCAGTGCCACTTAAGAACAACATATGCTACAGCTTAGACCCCCCTTTCAAACTCCCTTAAACCATCGGGAAGACAGCAAATGGTGGCTGAGCTTTTGTGATCTAAAAAAAAAATAAATTTGACCAGAGATTAAACTTGCTTTTCTGCCATTTATTGGCAAAAGTGAAAGTATCATTTCATGATTTCAGTCCTGAAATCTCTTCCTTGCAGAGTGAGTTCTTGTCTGTCTCTTTCAATCTAGTCCAGGGTGTTCTAMGTGTACAGCAGTGTTAGAGGGTGCTTCCCGGGCTGTGGGGAGAAAGCAATCACAAGTACCTGTGTCCTGCTGCTGCTCACTGGAGTCTGTTTTATTAAGACTTGACGTGTGGGTCAGGTCACAGTTGTGTGTCTACTGTCTGATCTGAAGAGCTTTAAACTAGTGTTTGGGTTTAGGAGACACCAGGAATACAAGTAATTGTTGGGAGGTAGAAAATGGACTGTTGCAGGAGGAAGATGTTAGTCAAGTGGACCTCTTAGTGAGAAACTCTAACCTCTTGTTTTCAACATGTTGAAAGTCTGAGAGAATTTGAGATGAAGGGAAGGGCATGGGAATGAATCACCTACAAACTACTCTGGGTCAACTACTTCTCTCTTTGTAGAGAGAAGCTGCTTTGTTGAAGGGAAGCACCTTTGATCTTATCACTGTATCCAATATCTGATGTCAGTGTTCGAGTTTGTGTGCACTCGGTGCAGGTCCTTGTGAACCAAGGAGCAGCCTCCCATCTTCTGGTGTGATTTGCAGGCAGTGAATTGCGTTGGGCTGACCTGGCTCTCGTTGCAGCAGCGCGTTACCACGTGGCCCCCCCAAGGTGAGCTGGCTGCCCTGGGGCTCAGGGGCTGCATCCAGGGCTCCTGGGTGGTGGAAGCTTCCAGCTCCTCTCAAGCCTGCCCTGGCGAGGGGCAGAGGTGAGTCTTAGCAGCAGCACTGCCCTGTGTGAGCAGCCAGCAAGCCCTTGTGCTGCGCGTGTGGCTGCAAGGTGGCCTGGCTGCCATGCTGGAGCCCAGCAGTCCTTGCGTTGGACTACGTGATCTCTAGGGGTCCCTTCCGACCTTAACTGTTCTGTGGTTCTGCAATGCTTCTATAGCAAAACATCTTTGGGGAAAGGCAGCAGGAGGCTGACTGTCACAGTCAGTCTTAGGACACCTCTGGAAAAGCACCGTCTGCTGAAAGTCAGCTCGCAATAGGAAAAAAAAAGGTGTTTGTGCTTTAGCTACACATGTAACGTCTTTTTAAGAGAGTAGTGCTTTGGACTTGTGTTGCTGCTTACGTAATAAAAATAATTCCATTTATTTTCTATTTTCTCACTTGAATAAGAATGCATGTATCTCAATTTGGCTTTATGAAATCACATGCCAAATATGAGACATGTTTGGCAGAGGAAAAATGAGAAAATAAAAACTCCCACTTTTTCTAAAGCAATTTCCAAACACTTTCTAAACATAGATGTTAGGCTTCTCTTGATGTTACAGAAGCCCTACCTGACGTGAGCTCCAAGCCACACACAAGATTTGGGCAATGTCAAGCTGCTTCATCATACACGACAGCAGTTCTCTAGGCAAGTAGTTCCCTGTCACCCTGGCTTGTATGAAGGAAGAATCTACTCAAGATGGACTTGTTTCCGGGCAGAGATATTCGGGTGAATGTAGCTGATCCTGCCTCAGCATGGAGAAAGGGGTTAGGTGACCTCTTCTGCAGACCAAGTTTTGTGAATGACCTCAAATGCAAATGCTCTCCGCTGCTTCCTCAGAGGGGAAGACAGCCCCAGGTGTAGACAGTTCTCTTTTTGGGAGGGTGAAACTGAAAACTTTCCTCTTGGCTGGTACTAAAAATCAGCATCTGCCTTGTAGATTCACTGCAGACAACTTTGGTATGAGTGACTTAAAGTAAGAGTGTTTGTGGCAGCTGACCTTCCTCAGAGATACAGCTGGTGCTGTGTTCCTGCTACTTTGTTGTTGCATTTTGAGATGAAGGCTTTGATGTTTGGAGCTCTAGGGAGCYGTGAGTTAAGTCCACTCTCTATAGCAGACTGCTCCTTCCCAAGGAAGGCACTCCTCAATCTGTACAGCACCTGGATTATTTCCAGCAGTGCCATTCTGTGTATCTGTATCTTTTTGTGGAGATGCTTCTATCTATAGGCATTTGTCAGCACTTCTGACAGTAGTATCAGCACACAGTGACAAAAATAAAAATAATGCAAAAAAGGGAGAGCTTCAGCTTCCTAATAGCAGAAATCTGAGTGAGTGGAGCATATGACATGGCACAGTGGGGACGAGTCCTCCTCCAGAGCCTGCCCACTGGCCTTGCTGGGGCTGTGTTACTGCCTGTAGCACAGCTGTCAGGCTGTGGTTTGCTGCGTGCATCAYGGGAGCATGCCGCCCCCAGACATCACACACGGAAAGCTATTTTAACTACTGTTAGTTTAGCACAAAGTAAGAAATGAGGAAGCTCTCATGAAGCCTTGGCGACAGCAAACTCTGTGCTGCTGACCCTTGCTCTCTTCTAAATGGGGCAGTGTTAAACTCTACAGCTTGTTAATCATGGCAAACTATAGAAGGTAGCAGGTTATTATCTGGCAATTCTTGTTTTTCAAAATAGGATGAAAGACAGGGAACAGATAGGAGGAGCTGRTAAGCTGGAGGAAATGCAGAGAGTTGGGATTCTTCCTGAAACCTCCTGGTCCTGTTGCACCTCCAGAGCAAGGCAGTGAGCTTTGGTAGTGCTACAAGGAAGGTGTGATTTAGGAGGAACACGGTCGGGACTCTCAGGGTAGAACCACGTTGGTGCCAGTCTGAAAGCTGGTGGGGTATGAGACTTGTGGCATTCTTATTGTGTGGTTGTGAAACAGCATTTTTTCCCATACTGAACTTGTTGCTCCTTCATTAAGTCTATGAAAAGCTTGACACACAGAAGCTATTTGCTGCCCAAGGATTTGTGGTCTGCCTTTTCCGGAAAGAAAGATGCTATCARTGGGCTGATTTATCTGCTGGAGTGAAGTGGCATGAGATAAATCATGTAAGCTGTTGTCATTCTTCTTGCACATGGCTGGGTATTGAATTAATGTCCTGCATTTCTTCTGTTGTACTGGTGAAACTATGCGTTAAATTCCAGAACATACAATGCTACAATCCAAATGTGTGGAGGTCCTACTCTTAGGATGTTACCAGCTACCATCAAATTAGTGATTTTTTTTTCACTGCTTGCATTTATATGCATAAAGACTGACTCAGTCCTGTAGTTGAACAAAAGGAGAGACCTGCCTTTGAGAAGAGGTTAAAATTAATGGCAAAAAATATTATGTAGTATGTGATTCATCTGAGGATCCTGCTCTCGTGGGCTTTTATTGAAGTAAGTAGTTATCTTTTCTAGTGAATGTAGAACAGCTTTTAATTTGTGAATATTCAGAACTGCTTATTTGTTCACCCTTGCACAACAGTCTCATTCACACCGGTATCTGGTTAGCTGAGGTGCCCTTATYTAGCTGCAGTCAAGAAAGTGGACTTGAGCTTCAGGATTTATCTTCTGCCTGCTTCAAGGATGGCTCCTTTTTCCAGCTCCTTTTTCCGTGCTCATGAAGAGGCAACACAGGTCACCAGGTGTCGGAAATGGAGTGTCTCAGTCTGTACGTGCTGTCTTGCCAAGGATGCTGCTCATTTGAGCCCTTCAGTAGCCACTGCTGCTTTTCCAGGAGTAGCCAAAGGTCACTAGAAGGCAGTGCCAAGTATTGCCTTGAGCCCACAGAGTGGGGAGACAGAACTGCAAGAGGAGGGGAAAGCTGTTTTTCTAGGAGGATCAACCCAAGCTTGTTGCCAGAGTTGTTGGCACGCTGCACTCTTAACTTGGGAGCGTTGAGCTCTCCTTGCAAATATAAAATTATTTTTTGATCAAGAAATGGCAGTGACTTGTTTTGGTCATACAAATGTGCCTGTCTGTGGAGCTGCAAGTGGGCCAAAGCACAA